AGCAGTGGTACAAGTTTTTGACCTCTTTTATGGTAAAGTCACGGGTAATGAGAAACTACTTCTGATCATTGTGTATTTGTGAAATTCGCAGAAGGCGACTTTATATTCTCGTTGTTATATGTTGGATGATATGCTTATTGTGGGCAAGATGCTAAGAAATTGAGAGAGCTTGAAAAAGGACTTGGAATCCTTTGCCATGAAGGATTTGGGTCGGCAAACAGATAACTCGAAATGAAGATCTCCAGAGACAGGAAAAAGAGAAAGTTGTGGGCTGTCTCAAGGAAAAGTATATTGAGGAAAAGTTCTCAGCAGATTCAACAGAGCAATGCGAACCATATTAGTACTCCACTTTGCAGGTCATTTCAAATTAAGCAATGTCCTTCAAGTGAGAAAGAAAAAGAAGAACTGAAGAAGATTCCTTATGCATCCGCCGTTGGCAGCTTGATGTACGCTATGGTATGCACAAGACCAGATATTGCTCATGCTGTTAGTGTTGTTAGCCGATTTCTTTCAAATCCAGGTAAAGAACACTGGAATGCTGTAAAGTGGATTCTCAGGTATCTTAAGGGCACTTCCAAAATGTGCTTATGTTTTGGTGATAATAGACCTGTGTTAGATGGTTACACAGATGCAGACATGGGTGGTGATGTTAATTCGAGCAAATCAACTTCTGGATATCTGATGACCTTTGCAGGTGCAGCAGTTTCTTCGCAATCAAAATTGCAAAAATGCGTTGCACTCTCATCCACTGAGGCGGAATATAGGCGGAATCATATCGCCATTATAGAAGCTAGCAAAGGAACTCTTGTGGATAAGAAATCTCCTACAAGAATTGGGTGTTGTAGAACAAGAGAAGTACATTTCTGCTATGTGATAGTCAAAGCGCGATAAAAGCGCGATACATCTCAGCAAGAATTTGACCTTTCATTCAAGGTCAAAGCACATTGATGTGAGGTATCATTGGATACGTGATGCGCTGGAGATGAAGTTATTTCAGATTGAAAAGATTTACACTGATAATAATAGCGCTGATATGATGACTAAAGCTTTACCTACAGAGAAGCTTATCACTTGCAGAAAGATAGCTGGTATGGCCAATGTCCCCACTTGAGTGTGCAGGGGGAGATTTGTTGTGCGGTGCCCACTCAGTGGGACCCACACTTTGTTGAAAATAGAAGATGGTAGGTGATCAACCTGAATCAACCCCACATGTAGTTGAAAAAAAAAAAAAAAGAGGAAAAGAAGTCTTTGGTAAGGTGATCCGTTGGTAGGTTGGACGCATTAATCATGCGTTCCAACCTCTTCCTAATCAGCGCTTTCCAACCTCTCCTGATAAATTAGGAGATGCTGCATAGAGCTTTCAATCACACCAACGAGCAGAGCCAAAAAAACAAAAGAGAGAGTTTTGAGTTTTAGAACGGTTCTAAAACTTGGCGTAGGTTAAAATAGTGTAAGATAATTTATGGTGTTTTTGGAAAACACTTTTGACGCGGCCACTATTTTGTATTACTCTCTTTGTAAAGCCTACTATTTTTAAAGTGGAAGGAAATATTTCAGTTTTAGTCCCTTGGACGTTGGACGTAGCCCTAAAAAGTTAAAGGGTGAACCACGTAAATATCTGTGTGTCATATTTATATTTTTCCGCTGTGTTATTATCGTAATTTTATTGCCGGTCCCATCAAGTGGTATCAGAGCCTAGGTTTGGAGCGGGCATAAGCAGCGGACTGCGCAGTGTGAGAAAAATCTCGGTGTGACGGTGTAACAGCAGGACCAAGACCGGGAAAAGATCTGCAAGTGGTGTCTTGTGTCGAAAGTTTTCCCGGCAAGAGGAGGTCGGGCGGCGTGTCCTGCAAAGTTGTAGCGGCGGTACAAGATGGTGGGCAGATTATCCCTGGAGGGGACAGATTATCCCTGCGAGGAGGTCACGATTGTTGTGGTCCTTTAAGGTTGGAGGGAGAGGTTTGTTGGGATATCCTCCCCAAGTCCCACATCGGGAAAAAATGTGAAAGAAGTAACCCACAATATAATTGGTCAATCCCAACCCATTAGTATGAGGCCTTTGGGAGTGCCCAAAAAGATATCCTCCCAAGTCCCACATCGGAAAAATGTGAGAAGTGGAACCACAATATAATGGTTCAATCCCAACCCATTAGTATGAGGCCTTTTGGGAGGTGCCCAAAAATAAAGTGGTATCAGAGCCCAGGTTATAGCAATCTCAGGCCAGTTTTCGGGAGAGTACGGGTTGTTGCTCCTCCGGCCCATGGCCCGATGTGTGAGGGGGAGATTGTTGGGTTATCCCACATCGGTTGTGGAAGGGGCTGGTGATCAAATTATAAGTGTGAGGGAAGGCCTCACCTCTTGAGCTAGCTTTTGGGATTGAGAAGGCCCAAGATCACCTATCACATAATTGAGTTGAACTGAACTTTTATAGAATTACATTGAATAGAATTTGTTTAGTTCAATTCGATTTTTGTCTTTACTTATTTTTAATTACTGCTTCTAGATGTTCAGTTCTATATAAGAAAAACCAAACTGAACAAAAAAAAAAAAAACATATGTTAAAACTAAAAACAAACCGAATTTTAGAAAATAATTAAACCGAACCAGTTGGTTATTGCACTCAGACCAAAGTAAAATTTCTCGTTTCAATCATCAATTAGTCAAACGCCAATTGTTTTTCATTCTTCTTGCTACAAATTTTTTTATATAAGACAATAAAACTTATTTACTGATGCATAGAACAATAAATTCTTTTCCACTTTTAATGTCTTTATATACATTTCTTATTCACACTACGTTTTGTTGGGCAACAATTTTTTGTCAAAATGCTAAATGCTATTTTTTATAGTATTCGGTAACATATTGTTTGAATTAACTTTTAGAGGTTAAAGTAGCGTTTTGTAAAAAGTTAACTGTGGTTCCCATTATGTATGACACAACCCAAGAGGGGGTGAATAGAGTTTTCCAAAAATTTATCTTTTAAAACACAATATCAAAATTCTGTAGCAGCAGAATTAGAAAGCACTTGTGAGAGACAATTATCACGTTTAGAACTTTTTGATAAAGCTTATATAAGATTAGAAAACTGATTATAACTCAGATAGTGTAAAATGACATATTAGAACTTTGTAGAAATCATAGTACAGAAATCCAGAGTTTTAATGTTCCACAAAAATAAAACTTATACACATTTAAAAACAGTAAATCAATAACAACTTTGCATTTCTAAAAATATTAACAAATGTCTGAATAGAATATAACCAAGCAACACTTTAGAAAATAAAAGAAAATAAAACAGAGATTTATAGTGATTTGGCACTAACTCGCCTACATCCACTCCCCAAGACTTATCTTAAGATTTTCCACTACGTTATCTCTTTTAAAACATAAGAGACAAACCAACAGTTACAAGGAAATAGATTTAACACCTAAATCTAACCTTAAACCCACTAGATTTCAAAGGTTCTAGTTAATCTCAACCTTTCTGTTTTGTAGAGATCAGAAAACTCAAATCAAGATATTAAATCTCACACAAGGAGAAGGTCGTTTGATAACATTTTACACCATAGCTTCTCACCTAAGCTATTACACAAATATTTTTCTTTTAAAATCTCTAGTCTATAAAAGATTACAATAATCTATATAGATAGAGAGAAATGCAACTATAAGCATAGGAAGAACAGAAAATAGTTTTGAAAACAGAAAGTAAGTGCAGAACTATTCTTCAGAAAGAGTTGTTACCAGATTTCTTTTCTCTTGAAAAATGTATCTTGAAGAATATAGATGAAAAGAAATGAAAGGAGTTGAAAAGAGAGCTTTGAAAGATTTGAATTTTGAACAATAGACTTCTACTCTTGCCAACATTTGCTTTTGAGGGAGGAGATAGTTTTTATAAGAGAGAAAAATAATCCCGTTATAAATGAGATGGGATTTCTACTTTAAATTTCTGATGATTGATTTTGACACTGTAAATTCAAAAATTAACTCAGTATGAGTTGCATTAATGAGCTGTTGAGGCTCTTCACGCAAGGCACTAAGTTGAGAGGGTTAACTTCAGAAAGCTGTTTAACTTTACAAACAGAAACTATCAGCTGTGAGTAATAGCTATGTCGAATCAGAAGTTGCTTTTTGCAGAATTTCATTCAATAGCCACCAAGGAGGGTTACTCCTAAAATCTTTTAAATGGGAAAACGTGAAAAGTAAAGATTTTGACTATCTCCTCTTAATAAATTTATTCAAAAGCATTTTAATATAATTTTTGAGAGAGATAAAACAGATTTGTGCTCATAATATTATTTACTCTCTATCCTTCAATAATTTTCTAAGACCTATTATAATACTAACCAAACAGAATATCTTTATTAAACTTCATGGTCTTTAAATAAAAGTCTTGGATTGTAAGAGCTTTAATTATTCAATAATAATTTTCTACATAAAAAGACTTTAGCACAACAATAATATTAAATTTATTTGGTTTACATAATCATCAAAATTTTAGGATAAAATTGACCTTGAGCCAATATTAACCTATGTAACATTTAATTTTTAATGTTTCATGAAAAACTAATTAAACAACCAACAGCTAAAGCTTCTAAAATACATAATTTTGCCGAATAGACCCTTACAATTCAATATAAATCCCTGATGTACACAACGTTTCCCTTTGTTTTTCTTTTCTCCCTTTTTGGTAGAGAAGCACTTTTCATAGCACAAACTCATGACTCCGAGTCATAATACAAGGTTTAATATCAGCAAAGTAACAAAATTAATGTTTTTAATTGAAAATTAAAAAAAGGAGGGAATTTTAATATATATGAAAAAAAAGCTACAGGACCAATCTCCATCCATTGGCTCATATGAAGAAAGTTAATTAGCAAACAGTTGACAATTAGTTGACATGAGTCAAAAATAAAAGAAAGTTAGTTGATAAATAAAACATTAAAAAAAGTGTATTTTATAAAAATAATCACGTAGACATGAAGTCTCTATTTATAATCAACTCTACGCATATTAATTTGTTAAAAAGATATAGCTAAGTGGCAATGGAAGCGGAGAAATGGCTCCTTCTTCAGCTTGTATTTGTTGGTTATGTGCTTGTCAGAATTGAAGGTCTCAATAGAAGCAGTTTTCCAACTGGTTTCATATTTGGAGCAGGATCAAGTGCTTACCAGGTAAACTTAATAATTAATATTAAACTATAATCATTTATATAATTTTTAATTAATGGTTTAATTTATAATTAGTATGAAGGAGCTGCATATATAGATGGTAAGGGACCAAGTATATGGGATACCTTTGCGAGGATTCATCCAGGTCTTTCTTTACCTTGAAATTCTCATTTTTTTCTATTCCTTGATTTATTTTTTTTTTTTTAAATTTAATCTCTTTGGATTTAAAGAAATAAACCACTTAAATATTAATTCTAATGTCTTGTTTTATTTGATTAATTAGTTAGCATATGGTCTTTTTAATTAAATGCTTGAAGTAGTTGGCTATATTTAAATTAATTAGTTGTTTTATATTTATCCATTCAATCTTTTTAAATTTCATTCTTATATTTCTTCTATGAAAAACGTCTCAATTTCTTTAATTTTCTTCTCGTTTCAACACAATAAAAAAGAAAAGTACCATTTTAAAGAAATGAATAAAGTGAAGGAATGTAGTAAAATAGCTCATTTTGATTTTTGAACGAGAAATTCTAGTGAAATGCACCTCATTGTAAAAAATTATTAACTTAATCACTTGGTCGATAAAAAATACTCCTTTTGTTCCATTTTGTTTGCTTGTTATTCATTTTTTGGATATCCCAAAATGTTTACGAGGTTTCTAAATTTAGACACGTGAACAATTATTTTTCTCATAATAAGCTTTATAATTGTTCATTTAATGAAGAGTTTTTAGTATCTTAATGAGTTATTAAGGGTAAAGAATGACAAAATAATTTTTGTTGACTAAATTCTTAATATGCGTGGTTTGTCAAACCAGGCAAACAAAATGGAATGGAGAGAGTAATAAAAGTTGAAAACACTAAAAAAAAGGACAACAACATTCGGGCACTAAATTTATAATTATCTGAAAGAAAAATAAAATAAAAAGAGAAAAAGAGATTTTATAACAACTGAGATGTTATTATTTATGAAATTTGATTTTAAATCCTATAGGAGGCTACAATGCTTGGTTTAAAAAAAAATCAAGTTAGAAATTTCATTAATTGAAAACTGTATACAGATGTTAGATATATATCAATATGTTTCTATAATTTTGTATAGGAAGTCTAGTAATAAACCACTTATACAAAGAATAAAAAAAACACAATCTTGATTTAAAATATCTGATCGAGTTGACAAAATATAATATTTGTATCATAGGCAATCGCTTGCTCCACTTGGTGACTATTCATGGCCACTGTTCGACTCCATGGTCTTTTTATAAATCGGATCTGATTACCTTCAAATTTTTTTTTTATTGGAGAGGAGATTTGCATTTTTTTTCTGCGTAACTATCTAAATAATAAAAGACGCTAGACAAATGATAACGATGCTTGGGTTAATACCAACTAATCTTTCTGTTTTCTCTTTCATTTTTCTTTGATAGAAAAGATTTTAGACCATAACAATGGGAATATAGCAGAAGATTTTTACCATCATTACAAGGTATGGGACAACTACTATTTTCTTTTCCTAATATACCCTTTACTCATTTTATTTTGAAATTAAAAATATATGTTTATAGGAAGATATAGCTCTTATGAAAGTACTTGGATTGGATTCATTTAGATTCTCCATTTCATGGTCTAGAGTCCTACCTAGTAAGTTAATTATGTTTTTTCTTTTATTTTATTCAAATATTTTCATTACTTAAAACAAAAACTATAGACCTTATTTGTGTTGTAATGTTAAGAGGGAAAAATCAGTGGGGGAGTAAACCAAGATGGTGTTCACTTCTACAATAATCTCATCAATGAGCTCCTATCCAATGGTGATTATTCTCTATTCATTTTCCAGTTATTTGGTATATAATGGATGAAGGCTATACGTGACATTAAAAATTAGCAAAAAAAAAAAAAAATCGTGGGACAATATAAAATTTTTTTCATATAATCATATTAGTGAATTATAATGATATATAGTCAATAAATACAATTTTAGTGGGATACTATATACTTCTAAAGGAAAAATAAAAAATACATATAAACATTTTCAGTAACATTAGTTATTTTATTAGTTATTAAGTATTTTAGTAGTGGATAGCTATTCTAATAGCCTATTAGCTATTTGATTATGGCATTTTGCTAAATGTTAAGATAAATAATGTTTTATAAGAAAAGATTTATCTACACAGTGTGTATGGATCTACTGGCCATACACCGAAATCAATAAAACAACTTTTTGGTTTAAAGGAAAACATTACTGACTATGGAAAAGAAAAAATTTTTAAAAAACACTCTTTTTTTGATTGATTGGTTTAGAGAGTTCCATATACGGAGTGTTGACAAGTCTTATTCACGTTTAAACATTATGTCATAGAATAATATAAATAAAAAAGGTAGTGTTTTGACTGCAATCAAACATTAAACACATTGTAAAAGCTAAAATTGACAACTATAGACATAATAAAAAAAAAATAAAATTCAAATAACTAAATGCATATATTTCAAAAACTAATAAATGAAATACCTTGATAAATGATAATTTTAGAAGGCTAAATTTTTACAAATTACAAATATAATTGAATATTTAATGTCTCTTGTATATGCGACCCACAATCTATATAACTCATTTGAAGTCTTTCTAAATAGGCATACAACCTTTTGTAACTCTATTGCATTATGATCCCCCACAAGCCTTGGAAGATGAATATGGAGGATTCTTGAGCCCTAATATTGTGTAAGTAATCATGCATATATATATATCTCATTTTGAAGTTTTTCTAAAATAGGCATTACAACCTTTGTAACTCTATGCATTATTGAATCCCCCACAAGCCTTGAAGTATGAATATGGAGCGATTCTTTGAGCCCTAATATTGTGTAAGTAATCATGCATATAATATATATATATATATATATATATATATACTTATTATATATATTATTAACAAAAAAAAAAAGAATTATAGTCTTATTTAATTACAAATGCAGGGATGATTATGGCTGATTATGCAGATTTCTGTTTTAAAGGAATTTTGGTGATAGAGTGAAGTATTGGGAACAATTAATGAACCAAATTTTATTTAGCTCAAATGGGTATGCGGACAAGTTAGAGGGCCACCTTGTCGATGTTCTGATTATATTAACAAAAAAAAAAAAAGAATATAGTCTTATTTAATTACAAATGCAGGGATGATTATGGTGATTATGCAGATTTCTGTTTTAAAGAATTTGGTGATAGAGTGAAGTATTGGGTAACAATTAATGAACCAAATTTATTTAGCTCAAATGGGTATGCGACAAGTAGAGGGCCACCTTGTCGATGTTCTGATTATATAGATCAAAATTGCAAGGTTGGTAACTCTGCTACTGAACCTTATGTGGCTGTCCACCACTTGCTTCTTTCCCATGCTCTTGCTGTCAAATTATATAGGGAAAAATATCAGGTTTGTATATACTAATTAATTACTCTGTCCGTCCCAAAGTATAAGTTGTTTTTTATGATTATTTGATCAAACTACCTTTGGTTTTGTTATAATTTAAGAGAATCAATTGTTTTTTTAATTCTCATCTAAAAATTTTGAACGATTTATATTTTGGGATAAAGGGAATAATTTGAAGATCAAATTAAAATTCAGCTTTTCTTTGTTATAAGGATTGCATATTTATTTATGTAGGATTTTCAACAAGGAAAAATTGGGATTTCAGTTCTGACAGAATGGAAAGTTCCAAAGTACCAAACAAGTGCTTGCATCAAGGCTGCTTTTAGAGCCATGGATTTCCAATTTGGATGGTAAATTTATTACTAATTACTTCATTTCTATTTTTTAGTATAAAATTATTATTCTCTTAGAGTTATATATATTTTCTAAGAAGTTAAGTTCTCCAAAAGTTGAGTTAATTTCTTAGGAAGACAAAACTATAAAACAAGTTTTTCACTATTCTGCCTATTCTAAATAGATGTGTAATGCTATATAAGAAAAAGGATTAATACTACTTGTTCATTACCTGACTTAAATCCATTTAATATAAAATAAAACTAGAGAAAATCTTAATAAAACTAAATTTCAAATTTATATAATAATAAAATCCATAAATAAACTAAGAAAATTTAAGAAAGAAAAAATTTTAAATTTTAAATTCAACTTAAATGTGAATTAAAAATTATAATAACTTTTACATAATGGGTTTTTGGGCAGTAGATGCCCAATATCTTAAGCTCATACTTGACTCAAATCCATAAGTAGTAGATTTAATATCTATATGTGTCCCAGGCTCAAGCAATTAATAACCAGACCTCCTTTAAAGGATTGGAATGAGTCCATGTAGGCATAGCCATCGGTTCAGTTTGAATCGGAACCAAACCGGAACTGAATCGTACTATAGACAAATTGGAACTGTCGGTTTAAAGTTTTGAACTGGAAATGACAGTTTAAGGGCTAGTTAAAGTTCATATGAATGTTAAATTCTGAACCTAAATCGGTCTAGAACCAGCGGTTAACCAATGGTGGTCCGATTCGACACAAAAATTTTTTATTTTTATTTTTAAAATTATAATCACTTAGTTTATTTTATAAAATTTAGTATATAATTATATTGTTTAATATAAATGGGAGTTTAACATTTTTTTCTTTCAAATATTAATTTTTACTCAGTTTAAAATTACATTGTTTGAAGCATTTTTAAATTTATTTAATTAATAACATTTAGATAAAATAAAATGATAATTTATTTGATTTTTTTTATAAAATTAATTAATTTCATTGCTTACATATATGAGTACGAGCATTCTAAAAGTTATTTAAAATAAATTTACCAATCTTTTTTTTGAATTCACATTAATTTTTTCAAAAAAAAAAGACGCCTTAAAATTGAATTTTTAGTTTTTTAGAAAAAATTACTACACATTTCACCGGACACCTTGATCAGAACTATAGATTCATTGGAACCTGCATCGAAATTAGCAAGGACTGTAACCGGCTGTTCAAAAGCCAATTTAGGTTCAATATTTTAAAAATCTTAAACCAGCAGTTCCATGAACCGGCCATGCCAGAGTCCATGCACAAAAACCCTAGCCCGCTTTTATCCTTATCTTTTATTCTCTTAGGTAGGAAAAGTGGAAATTTATCGGGAAGAAGAATGAATTGGCTAAATGAGATTTAAAGCCTCTAACCTGTAGATTAAACCAATGAAAAATAATATTTTTTTTTGAAACCAAGGTATTTGTGACCCTTTACCGGTGACAATTGGTAAAGTGGGAACAACTTTTAAAAATCTATATTTTTAATAGTTTGGTTCATAGGTGTGAATCTATAGACTTGGATCTAGGTAAAGCGGTATCCATTGGAAAGCATAAATTTATCCGTATACTTTACATAAAAAAACTTTGTGGCACCAACTTTTATTTTGACCTATTGAACACTTCAATTAAATACTTCGAGTTGCAAGAATTATTTTATTGAATACTCAATTTTCTAAAATTAGATCAATTAAACACTTATTATATTGTTAAAACACGTGAGAATTATTATTGCAAAAATTATACTAAGCACACATTAAGTGAATATCTTGTACATAAATGCCAAAAACACAAAAAATATATTATTACTTGTATAGAGAAGGACACACTGTTAGCAAAATTCATAACTTTAAGGACATAATAAGTTACTCTTGGAGTGCCACAATATTTTTTTCCGTAAAGTACATAGGTATATTTATACATTTGGCTCAAGTTAAACTAATAATGGAAATCAAGAACTATGAACTCATTCGCTTTTCAGGATGTCAAGCTTTATTCGTTTAACTTCTCCCATGAATTAATGCAGGATTGTTAATCCAATTACATATGGTGATTATCCTCGAACAATGCGTTCTATTGTTGGCCATCGACTACCTAAATTCACCAAACAACAGTCAAAAATGCTAAAAGGATCACTTGATTTTATTGGAGTTAATTACTATACTGCATATTATGCAGAAGATGCAGCATATTCAAGAAATGTCAATCTAAGTTACACTACAGACAATCATGTTAATCTCACTAGTAAGTTCTATCTATATCACTTGATTTTATGGTTCATGATTCGTCTTACAAGCTTTCTTAATCATTGTCAAAGCGAAGAAAGATGGGATTCCTTTAGGTCAACCGGTATGATATTCTTTCTTTCTTTCTTTCTTTCTTTCTTTCTCTGCATTATATACATGCATATACACTAGCTCGAATAATGCTGAATTCACGATATACAACTTATTTAAAATTAAATTTTGAGATCGACTTTAGCACAAATTTTTAACTAGAATATCAACTTGGCTCAATTTTTCTAACCGGTAAACACAAGTTAGAGACAAATAATAAAAAAAATAATGGTTTGATTTTCTTTTAGTTTAAATATATTACCCATTTTTAACTCAGTCAATTACACATGTATATAATCAATATCGTGCAATTCTGCAAATGATCATGTAAATTGTTTCGCAGACCTCCTATGATGGCTATTACTTCTATCCCAAGGGAATTCAAGAACTAGTTCTGTACATAAAAAGGAAATACAAAAATCCTGTTATTTACGTTACAGAGAATGGTAAGTTATTATTTATTATACCTCTGCTTATCAATGATGATGAAGAGAAAAAAAAAAATGTCAAAATAAAAAGGATAAATTGCTTTCAACAATATATTCAAATAGGTTTTTCATTTATAATGTGACTAATACCAATTTCTGTTTCTTTTTTGATTTTAGGACTTTTAGATGTGAGAAATAGCTCATTATCTATTACAGATGAGCTTAAAGATAAGTTAAGGATATCATTCCACCATCAGCATTTGTCATATCTTCTAAAAGCAATTGAGTGAGTAATATTACAATATACCATCTTTAAAACTTATATTTTCTAAATTAATTTTTTGAAGTGTTTAAAAATGTTTACTATTGAATTGAATTGGACAGGGATAATGGTGCTAATGTGAGAGGATATTTCTTATGGTCATTTCTAGATGACTTTGAATGGGAGTTTGGCTACACAATTCAGTTGGGTATTAACTATGTGGATTTCAATGATGGCCTTAAAAGATACTCAAAAAATTCAGCATTGTGGTTTAAGAAGTTCCTTCAAAAGAAAAATGTAACCATCACATGTCATTCTTTCTCCTTCTTGTCATCTTTGATGTAATTATTGCAAGACCTTGTTACTTCAAATCTTTTTCAATTGCTATATTGTTGGAAGTTTAGAAAGCACAAACAGTAGAGAAAAATAGAAAATCTAATGCTCCCTCCCTCTGGTATTTATAGGTCTGATTTGACTTTCACATAAATAAAAAAAATTAATTAATCTAGTTAAACTATATTTTTTGTTTAATTTTTTTCTTAAAATAATCTCTATTAATTATTGTAGTATATACAATTGGGATATAGGTGTACACTGGGATGAACGTAGGATCAAAACTGGAAGGGAAATATAAAATGTGGGCTTTAAGGACTCATCTAAAATGTGAGCTTTAAGGACTCATCTATTTTAATGAGGCCAGAATATAAGAATGGAACAATATTTAGTAAAATTGAATTAGAAATTTCAAAGAAAAAAAAAATGTAAAAAGCTGGGATCCGTCCCTGCATGTATATTAAATAAGGGTATATTAAGTGATAAATTTGTAAAATATCTATCCATAGCCTCCATATAGAAATGTATAAGATGTGGATGAAAAAGGGAGAGAAAACGGAGCCTTAACTCTGCAACCACTCAGATACTTAAATCATTGAGAAAATAATAAATAATCGTAATTAAATGAGATATTGTGTTGTTTATTGCATAGATATTGCGTAAATATTGCATATCTGAATAGGGAGTTTGATCCTAGAAAAATAAATTCTTATTGGATATGTATTTGTGAAGGAATAAGAATAAGATTTTCTAATCCTATTCTATTCTATCCAAAGAATAATATTTGATCCTAAATACTTATATATAAATTACAGTTATATCCCTGATAAATACTTATATTCTGTTATTAAGAAATTAAATAATAAATAATCTTTTAAAAAAGAAAATAGAATTATATTTTAAAATAAATAAAAAAAGAAAGTAAGTCTATATACACAAGTCCGAGAGAAATGCATAATTTGTACATGGACAGGTCTCTCGGAAGGATCATTGGTTAAAATTTTTGAATGGACAGTACGCAATTATGTTGACTCCAGCAGTAAGTACATATTTGACATTAGAAACATTTTTTACTTCAACATTGGGGAGTTTTTGGCGGCCTCTTCCAATATCTTCAAGTTGCATTTTCATTTTATTTCTCACGTTGGTGTGGCAAAAATTTCCATCACTTTGCAAAGCGTGTGTTGACACCGGCCCAAAATATTCTAATGTTGGGCTTGACCTAAATATCTAAGTAGTTCTTCTATTTTGGTAAACCCTATTAGTTGTCTCCTAGCTTTACCACTACCAAACCAATTTAAAAAAAAACAAAAAAAATTTTACTGTTATGCAGTGCTAAAAATACTGAAATACTCTCATTTTATATAATATATATTATATTTTGGAAAGTCAAAATTTTGACATATTATGGCATAGTCTAATAGTGAATGCATATATGATCTGACAATAGATCCAGGTTCGAATTCCTCCTCCCCAATACTCAAATAATAAAAAGTTAAAACTTTGTAAAATCAAATTTAAACATGGAAAGAGATACTACCATCAATTCCTCCATCTAGCCTCGTTGCGAATTCCTCTTTCTCCTATTCATCCTCCTCTTCTCTCTATCCATGCATGGACGTCGCCGATTGAATTCTAATCCTCTAGTTGCATATCCTCTCAATCTAACGATTCTTTTGTGTGCCCTTCTACTTGGGTGTGTGCTTTTCATTTAGGGCAGTGCTACACGCGTCATTATGATATGGATCATAACCACATTTTTGGAAGAAAACCACTTGAGGATTTAGTTAAAAGTATAATTTTATCCTTAAGTTATTTTGCATTTAATGCCACCAAAAAATGACCTTTTCACACAAGAGAAAAGCACACACATGCCAATTTCACACTACAAATAGTCATACTCACACACGCATATTAAGACTAATAAATTTCTCTTTCTCTCTATAAGATGTTTGGGGTCAAAATTGACGAAACAAAAATTAAATTATTAATTTATTAGCAAAAGATTAACCATAGGCTTTATGTCACGACCCAATTCCATGGGCCGGACCGGCACTAGGGCCCAGGTAGGCTTAAGGCTCCCGAGACCCGTAGTAAGCCTGGAACACTAGAATCCACGGAGCCTCGGCACTAGGGCCCCAGGTTTAGGCTTAAGGCTCCGCGAGACCCGTACGTAAGCCTGGAACACTAGAATCCAATATCTCGGTATAAATTTCCAACATTTAGCCCATATGATTATGAAAATAAAACCTCAAGATTTTATTAAATCTCGGCCTCAAATTTATCGCTACAACATTCCACAGTTCGGGCCTAATTAAACAATGCATCACAATCTTAATAAAATGGGTTCTAACATTAATTATTTCGTCATATAATAATAAATGATTAACAGTATAGAACAAATCCTACAGACTGCGGATCCCTATTGTTTAGTATACAATAGCATAAATAATTTATGGAACTAGGAAAATTCTTATTTCCCTGCGCCGAAGAAAACATAGCCTAAAATCGGATTAAAGGAAAAACCTACTTCTGAAAAATCAAACAAGACAATGTGGAGTTTTCTAAAGATGTAATGAATTATTGCACAACACACGCAGTCATTACAAATGTGTACACGATATTAATCTAGTCATCCGACTAGTTTATTGCTCATCGCAGTCCACTCACAACAAATGGCAATATACCGCACTCACAATCATTAACATCTTATATAATCATATCACGTGGAAATTAGTCAGTGGCACCACATGAAACCCAACGAGCCGTCTCAACATGGTCGCCTCTCATCTGTGACCAGGGAGCCGATCCCATCGGCCCAACTGGTTCTAATCCTCACTACCAGTCCTCTCATTGTTTTTTCCGATTCTCTCTTTTCTTTTTCCATACCAAAGGAAGGCACCCGGTGGGTTCTCCATCGCAATCTCGATCATCAAAGTGCTCACAACAGGAGGCACCTGCGGGCTACGAATCAAAATCTAGATTTATCAGGTGCGAACAACAAGAAGCCCAATCCTGTGAATTCCCCATTTGTAATCTATATCATCAGGTGGCGCACAAGGGGGGCGCCGATTCTCCCATTTTCGGCCGGCCGAAGGTCCAACATTCATATAATATTCGGATCCATATCACAAGACCTGTCCTCCCAAACCCACGTGGTCCACTTCATCCAATTCCACACAAACAAAGCATAGATTATCACAACACAATTAATCAACATTGAAAATCAAATGCAGAATATTAATCAATTAAACATCATAATGCAATGCAAATTAAACATCCAAAATCAATGCAATAAATAATAATAGTTATTTAACAATATCAACATAAATAAATAAATAACAATATTAACAATAATCAATGAATAAAAATAATAAATATGTAAATAAATTAAATGAATAATAAAGGATTAGATAAATAATCAGAGCACTATATTTATTATATAGCCAAATTTATGAAACTAATCTAAATAAACATTATTAAATTATGTTTGTTAAATAAAAATTTAGTCTAATTTTTTAGTAAAATTTTCGACGCACTCCCTAAAAATTGAACTATTCTACCTGCTCACATATCATCAATATCATTATATCTTTATCAACTCAATGCAAAACAGCCATGCCGTCGGGCAATCAATCAATTTAAAAGTCCCATCCTCCTTCCATAACAACAATATCATTAAGTTAATTTCAATTACTTTTCACTTTGAAATAGTTTCGAGTGTCTAACTATTAATAGTAACTCTTTATCCAATCTTTCATTCTTATTCTTGCTTAAAGATAATAGCCATATTTTATACCTTTTGTTAAATTTTATTATTTAGCCAATCACGAACAAATGCTTTTATTAAATTAAATCTAAAGAATAACTATACTAAAGTTTAAGCTTACAGCTTAAAATATATCGATTTAAACTATTCTAGCGAGATTAAACGCTACTATTTCAAATTTTTCCGTTTATCTTTTCGCCAATTTGGATTCATAATAATCATTCTGAATGTTTTCGCATTCATGAGTTAGAATTAAATGGATTTACCTATCAAGGTTCTCTAACAAGAATCATGAAGTAATTTTTAAACCTAGGCTGATTCATCACTCTATTTTCAACATAAAATTAAAACCCCTCTTATCCCGAATTCATGGTCAATTTTTCATGCTTAGAAAACATTAAAATCCATATTAAAGCTTAAAAATTCAACCAAGAAAAATAATCACAAATAATTCAGACCCAGATCAAATTGATTAAAGACCATTTTCTAAATAGAATTTAAGCATTACTTCAAGCTTTGATTACTAAGATTACTATTTAACTAATATATTGAAGTTTCAAATAACTACGATCCACAAGGAGATAGATTCCTATCTTAACATTACTTTTTTTTGTTAACTAATTCATTCTAAGGTGATTATTCATGTAATTATGTAGCTAATATCCTTAATATAACCAAAATTTTCTGCAGTCTTATACTTTTCTAAGCCTAATTTATCAAATTCAAGTCAAACAATAGTTTGAATATCAATCAATGTCAGATTACAAATCTAATAATATAGTCATACTCTACTGGTTGAGTGCAAAATTCTGCCTATTTAGCACTTTCCGGTTACCGGAAACATCCACCGTCGCCACAGGCCACGGTGGCCAGACGACCAGCAGGCCTGAGATCAAATAACAATATACTGAAAATAAAGAATGCTTCCTGTAAAGTTCGGTTTTGAGATCAATATCTACAAAATATGGCAATTAATTACTAAAACCCCAAATTTTATCAATTGACAAAACCTAAATCTTCAACCATCTCAAGTGGCTCATTCAAATTCAGTTTGTCCATTAATTATTTATCTAAAGATGCATTTTGGGCTCACCTTGCTGAACGTGGATCGCCGAAAAACGATGAGGTCGCCTGGAAATCGAGCAGGAGAACGCGATCTGGGCGGTGGAGCAGAAGCTGCGACTTTCTGCCCATCGTTGCGCTCACCAGAGAGAGGAGAAGGAGGCTTGAGCATCTGGCGGCGGTTGACGCGACGGCGAGGTGGCGCTGGTTCTGGTGGTCGGCAAAAACAGAGGAGGTAGAGCAAGTGAGGTCGTGCGCCGCAGAAAAACGGGAAGAGGAGAGGCAGTGAAGGTCCAGGCTGACGAGTTCGGATGGTGGCACGAAATGGAAGTTCGGTCGGTCTCAGGCTGGCCGGAAACGGAGGAGAAAGGGGGAGAGGAGGTCGGCGCTTTTGGTGCTAGCGGCAAGAGAAGAAGGGAAAAAGAAAAAGTTTAAAAGGAAAAAGAAAAGAAAAGAAAAAAGAAAAAAGAAAAAAAATCTTGGGGCTTGTAGACAATTCGGTTCGATTCGAACCGGTTTGAGGTCTAATTTAATGATTCGGCTTCGATTTTTGCTCGATTTCGAGTATTTTCAATTGTTTTTGAATTATTCTTGTGGTTTTTGATTTTTTTGGGATTGGGCCCAATTTGAAAATATTGGGCTCGAATTGGAAGAATTGAGCCTGTTTTACATTTACAGCCCACACGGCCAAAATTTGCGATTTTTGATTTAAAAAAAATTCGAAGGTTTTGAAAATAAAAATTCGGGGTATTACACTTTAGATGTAGTCATGGGCTTCAAATTAAATTAAATGATTAATTTATTATCATGAGCTTTAGAAGTGAATGAACATTTAGTTTACACTTAATTATTTTAATCAAATTTGATTTTAAATTAATTTAAATTTATATTATTTTAATTTAATAAATTTTCAAGTGTAACTTAATCAAATGTGATATAATTTAGTTATAATTTTAATTTAATTAGAGTCCTGTTCTTCCATTAAAGTTTATAATTTGAACTCTTCTGCTAGCATCATATATAACAAGTTTCCAAAAGTATAAAGTTCAAGACAATATTGTAAAAGTTTTTTTTATCATCCTATTTCGAAAAGGACCCGTATTTACTTACAAGGTTAATATCTTCTATCAAGATCAGCTCTAACTATAATATTTCAATTTTATATATTTATATTTTTTTATTCCTATGAAAATACCATGATGTGCTTAAGTTATATTTTTATTATGAATTGCCAAGTTTCTATAAAAAAATTGTAATATAATCAATATCATAGACCAGAAATTCCTTTATATAAATTGTATATTAAATTCTCTAAAACTTTTATTTTCGCAATTTCGATATTTCAAACATTAGCAGAGAAGAAATAATTAAATAAGGCATTAGACCCATAATGTCTGAAATGAAATTATTGATATAATTTCAGTATAATTTCACACATTCACCATAATTTTAAACTTATATTATGAGATGGACCTAGGCATGGCCAAATTACGGTTCCGGGAACCGGAACCGTCGGTTCGAACCAGCCCGGAACCGTAACCGGAACCGGTGAGAACCGACCGGAACCGGTGAGAACCGGGACGAACGCGAACGCGGAACCGGAAAAATCGGTTCGGTTCTGGTTCTGCAAATGAGGAACCAGAACCGGCGGTTCCAGAGAAACCGGTCCGGAACCGGACTGGAACCGCCGGTTCTTCGCTGGTTAGAACGCCGTTCGAACGCGGCGGTTCTAGCCGTTGTAACTGTCAGATTTTTGGATTTTTTTTTTTTTGTTTTGTGAAATGTCTTAATTACCCCCTCCAACAGCCATAAACGGCTATATAACGGCTGTTTTAAGGGTATTTTGCGCAACAAAAAGTGAATTTTTTTGGATTTATTTATAAATACTCATTTTATTTACAAATTCATTACAAAAATCTCAACTCTCTCTAACCTTACTCTCTCTACAATATACTACTCTCTCTAACATATTACTACACTCTACCTCATATTATTCATTTCTTCATCTTACTCTACAATATTCTATTAAGTATTATTCTCTCTAATTTTTTTTTTCAACTTTCTCTCCAAATTATATTTTATTATCATCAAGTGGAGGAAACTCAAATTCGGGTAAGGGCAAGGGAAAAATTGGAGAATCATCTATCCCTACAAACGACATCTATGATATGATTCCCGACCAATGTAATTTTGAGGGTTTTCCAAATGAAAATTTGGATATTCCAACTCAAGAATCCGAATTTAATGATTAATGAGCAATTTCAAGAAGATGAAGAGCAAGAGCAAGAGCAACGAGCAAAAATTGTTACAAGAGTAAGACAAAGTTCCGACATATTCTCCATTTATTTCACAAGAAAATTCAAAGGTGAGAAAATGTACGATATAATTTGCAATTATTGTGGAAAATCTTATAAATTTAAATAAGCGGACGGCTATGGATCATTTTGGAAGCATTTGGAGGCAAAACATCCAACAAAAATAGTAGTTGATCGGTCTCAACAACAAATTTCCGGGTACGCTTCTAACCTTTCTTTATTTAAATATTCTGAAAAAATATAAAAAGAAGAATTAGCAAAAATGATAAAGAAGAAATTAGCAAAAATGATTTCTTTATGGAACATTTATCTTTTAGTTTTGGGTGAAAAAATTAAGGTTTTTAATAATTATTTCAAGAAAGCCTTTAATCGCCTTGTTGCTAACAAAGAGTACCACGAAATACTATAAACGAACATTATTTCTTTATATAACAAGGAAAAAAAGGAGTTAGAACTTTATTTTCTCAATTGAAAAATTCGTGTTTAATTTGATTTGTGATGTTTGGAGTATCATTGGCAAATGCATTTCTTATATGGGTATTACATGTCATTGGATTGATGATGATTGGAAAATTCAAAAAAAGAATTATTGTTTTTTCGTGTTTTTTTGATTTGATAAGCATCTGCATTAATTTTTATAGAGTATTGGTTTCATTTTTTGATGATATAGGTTGAACAAAAAAAATTTTTTCTATTTCATATTGATAATGCCTTCTGCAAATACTAGATTCAATTATTGACTTAAAAAAATTTGTGAACCAAATATTGGTGGTAAGATTTTTTCATATAAGAATGTGCATGCTGTTTAAATTTATGTGTAACAAGATGGTTTGAAAAAATTCTTGATTCTTTTAATTTTCCAATTAAAAAAGCTATTTCCATATTTATGTGCACATTCCACAAGTATGAAAAGTTGGGTAAATTTTTTGTAAAGAAAATAATAAAAAGAAGACCCAAAACGTTTTTTCAAGGGAATGGTCCCAACTCGTTGGAATTCAAAAATATGAATTACTAAACGAGTCTTTTTTCTTATAAAGAATTATTACTGTTTTTTTGTTACTAATAATATTGAGGATATTAAATTTTATCACAAAATATTTGTACAAAAATTTTAGATATTTTAAAAATTTTTAATGATGCTACCTATAAATTTAGTGGGGTTTATTATCCCACATCTCATTTATTTTTACCTGTGTATTAATATTGTTAATGCACTCCAAGAATTTCAAAATGATGATTTATTAAAAGATTGTATTTTTTCAATGAAAAAAAAATGGTTATCTTATTTTAAAAATATAGCACCCCTTTATCTTGTTGCTATTATATTTGATCCTAGATGTAGAATGGATGTTTTATGTGATTATTTGACTATTTATTATGAAGTATTGAATCTTGATGTAGAAGATAATGTTAATATAAATGTAGTAGAAGATAATGTTAATATAAATGTAGTAATGCATGAAGTTAAACAAAATATTATGCAATTATATAATGAATTTGTTCAAGTTTCTAGTTCATCTACTTCAATCTAATATTCCACAATTTTCAACATAAAGGGTAAGTGGTGTTGGTGTTGCTCAATAAGTTTCATTGCAAAGACAAAAAAGAACAAGGGAATCCAGTTCTATTTCTGAATTTGATAATTATCTAACAACTTCTTTTGAGTTTGGTGATGATTATGCTGATGCAGATTTTCCAATTTTAGATTGGTGGAGTCGTCACGCAAATACTTTTTCAATTCTTTCTTTACTTGCAAAACAAATTTTAGTAGCTCCGGTCTCCACTGTTGTCCGGTCTTCCACTGTTGCGCGTTGCAACAAGCCTTTTTAGTCGAGGAGGTAATCATACTATGATTGAAACACGATTCTCAGTATGACACCCGATTCATTAGAAGCACAAGCGTGCGTGCGATGATTGCGACCAAAGGCCGAACTAAGCAGCCCGACAGAAATATCCAAAGAAAATGCAAGATTTATTTGATATACGTATGGGTCCTCCAACGACAACATCAACCTGGTGGTTGCAAATAGCCGATTAAGGTAAAAAGGGCGTAGAAATTGATTATTAAGCGTAAGTAAGAAACTAACGTGGGCCTTTGATTCCTCTAAACACCCAAGAGGCATACGTAGGCAACTTAAAATTTTTTTTTAACAAAAAAAAAAAATTAAAGTTCAAGCCCCATTTTTTATTTTTTAAATTTTTGTTCAAACATTAAAAAAAAAAAAATTCAGTTCAAATTTTTTTTTAAAAAAATCTTATGTTCAACACTCAACATATTCAAGTCTTTTAAAAAAATAAATTTAATTGAAGTATTTTTTTTGAATTTTTTAGGCTGTAATTTTTAATTTTTATTGTTCAAATAATTTTTTTTAAACCGATCTTTCAAAATTTTTAAAATTTTTTAGGTGTATTTTTAAATTTTTCATGTCAAATAAAATTTTTTTTTTAACCGGTTCTTCATTATTTTTAAAATTTTTAACTGTATTTTTTTTTAATTTTTTATGTTCACATAAAAATTTTTTTTAAAAACCGCGTATCCAAAATTTAGAAATTTAAATATGCCGATTCGGCCCGGAAAACCAATCGAAACCGTCCGCTTTTGTAATCGTGATCGAACCGCGAACCGCGAACCGGCAACCGAAACGGGGGGGCGACCGGGGGTCGAACCCGGAACCGGAACCGGGACCCATTTCGGGTCCGGAACCGGACCATTTCGGTTCGATTCCGGTTCCAGCTTTTCTGGAACCGGAACCGCCGGTTTCGGAACCGTGGCCATGCCTAGATGGACCAAAAGAACTACATATATAGTTTTGGCCCAGTGAGAAAAAAGTGGAAAAAAAAGAGAAGAAGAAAGCAGCCTGATAGTTTTTATTAATTGCATCCATCAAAACATAAAAACACAACTTAAATTAATAGGCATCAGGATTTGCCAATAGGTATGTCTCAATAACCTTAAACAGTGCCAACGTCTGTTGCTCCCCAGCCTTGATCTTTTCTTGATCAATCTTAGCATCACCGTTGGCATAATATTTGCTTATGGACTTGGCAATTGATCCTCCATCAGGGGTAGGTACTAGTTTTAACTCATAAGAGATTTTCTCTATCGTATCACTCTATAATGCACCTTCAATTGTAGTGTAGTTATATATAAAATTATCTTTATCTATTGCGTCAATTCTGTTTTTCATATACTTAACTTCGTTACCTGCTTATGTCCAAAAGAAATATATTATTAATTAAAAGTTATTTTAGAACTAACAAATCAATATGCAATGCCTTAATTAATTATAGCAACAACATTATAAATTGTGTTCGGCAAAAGTTTTTTATATATTATTAATTAAAAGTAAAAACGCTATTTTTATAGTGTTCGGTAATACATTATTTGAATTAGCTTTTAGAGGTTAAAAGTAACGTTTTATAAAATGTTTTAGTATTTTATGAAAAGCTAAATCCTATTAAAACAACTAACAACTACCAAACAACTTAATTTTGCCGAATAAGCCCATAATTTTAATTAAGAAAAATATACTTTTTTATGATATATAATATACTATATATAAAATTAAATATAGAGAGAGAGAGCAACTGAGAGAGAGCAGAGAGAGGCTTTTTAAATAACAATTTAAAATGGTAAATTAATGTAAACTTTTATAGAGCTGCAACTTAAGAATTCCTTCATTATAGAGAGAGAGAGAGAGAGAGAGAGAGAGTTTTTAAATAACAATTTAAATGGTAATTAATAAACTTATGAGTGCAACTAAGAATTTTCCTTTCATTATTACCTTCAACGAAGGTAGTCTTCTTGATAGTTCCAGGACCTCCATTTCCTTCAATAATCTCAATACTCTTAATGGCTTCAAGGACGAAGACCTTAAACATCATAGCAGGGGAGATTGCAGTAGCAATTTGATCTTCATGAATCAAAGCAGCCATCTTTAACTCTTGTATTTGGAAAAGATAAGACTTTAGAGGAGATAATATATTTGCTGTATGTGATGATATATGGTGAAGCTAAATGTGGTATTTATAGACCAGACAAATAATATAGACGTGCATCATCTAGCTAGATGGAAAATACATATAAAATGTTTGCAGCATGTCCTTCTTGTTGGTGCATTATATATTGAGATTGGATAACTATTTACTAAAAATATTCCATATCAGTGTGTGTATATATATATATATATATGAAGTTGTGTTTAATCCAAGTTGTCTCTTAGTATATATTTTTGGATTATGTATAAAATTAGGATCCTTTTGGTTTAGTTATTTATACTAACAGATAGCTGATAATTGGATGTTGGTGGCTGATAGCGGTGAGGTGAAGAATGTTAAGATTCAGTAAAATTTTGAGAGCAGTTGTTAAATTGGAAAATCACCATTAAGGATGTAATTTTTTTTTTATACATTATATGATGTATAATACATATATTCTTTTACTTTTAAATTTATTATTTTTTATTCTAATGTTTTAAATAATATTTATAATTATTATTTTTAAATAAATATATATAAAGTGATCATAAAAAGAATAATTTGAAAATTTTATAGCAGTCATTTTTTTAAGGTTAATGGAGTCTAAATAAAATAATATTTGATTCAGCTAGCAGCTAATACGAAAAAAACTCCAAAACGTAGTTAATTGAATCGGTAGCTATTTGGAACTTCTACCAAGTATTAGTTTCTAACTAAAAAATTTATCAAACATCTACAAACTAATCGTTAGGTATGAATAAACAGCTGCATAAATCAGCTAAACCAAACATCATTTTAATTCCGTTTTAAGATTTGTGATTGTCCCTCTTAGTATATATCTTTATGACTTTAGAATTTTTTTTTATTTTTTTGGTACCGAAGGATTCAGGGGCGAAGGGAGGGCCCAGACCTCTTAAACTCTAATGTTTTAAAAAAAATTCCCTATAAAATAGTGAAAAAAAAATTTTCTTTCATTTCGGCCCCCTTAATTTTAGAAATTTTTCTTTGATCCTTTTTAATTTTGGAGTCTAACTCTGCTTGTGGAAGAATTTGCATGTTACTCGATGCTAATTAAGTCCCAGCTATTACACGCCAAACTCTACAATGAGACGTGCGGAAAAGATATAGTCAATGAATATTGTAAATACTGTGAGAAAATGACATCTGGAAAAATAAATAATGATGCTCTTCATTTGAAGACTCGATGCTATTAATATTTATTTCTATAAAAATTTTAATTTATATAAAGTTTAAGTTATATCACATTTGTTGGGATATCCTCCCAAGTCCCACATTGAATAAAAATGAGAAGAGGAACCAATATATAATGGTTACCGAAAGAAGATCTGCAGGTGATGCCTTGTGTTGAAAGTCTTCCTGACAAGAGGAGGTCGGGCGGCGTGTCCTGCAAAGTTGTAGCGGCGGTACAAGATGGTGGGCAGATCTAATAGATTATCCCTGGAGGGGAGGTCATGATTTGTGTGGTCCTTGGTTTGAGGGGAGGTTTGTTGGGATATCCTCCCAAGTCCCACATCGAATAAAAATGAGAAGAGGAACCAAAATATAATGGTTCAAACCCAAACCATTAGTATGAGGCCTTTTGGGAGGTGCCCAAAAACAAATTCAAACCCAAACCATTAGTATGAGGCCTTTTCGGAGCGTGCCCAAAAACAAGGAGGTGCCCAAAAACAAATCCGTGAGGGCTTGGCCCAAAGCAGACAATATCATACTAATCCGGGGTTGGATGAGGGTACGCGCGGTCCCAACATGTGGTATTAGAGCTGAAGGTTCCAACAGATCCAGCCAGGCAGAGAGCGGTACTGGATCCGTGGATATATCTTGAAAATAAATATATCACGACGATGAGAAAATTACGGCGAGTCTATTGGTGCAATCCGTTCGAAGAGACGTTGCAGAATCTGAAGAATATCACTCTTAACCAGCACTATTCACGTATAGTACTATTCCCACATACAGATACTATTCACGTATACGTTTTCTGTTGGTAATATTCTGCTTAAGTCAAAAATGGACGATAGAACAACAGGCACAATGGTTAGACTCAACTCATCAAACTATGCAGTATGGAAGATACTAATGGAAGATCTTCTATGCTGCAAAGATCCATGCAAAGATACTTTTTGAGACGCATTGAGTTAAAGGAGGTCAGACCAGGCTTCAATAAATTGAGATCGATTGGCGAAGTCGACTAACAGAAAAGCAGTCGCAACTTATTAGGCCAGTCTGTTGCAAATGCAGCATCCATTAAATCATGTCGCCTAATGAGAAACGCATGCATTCTATTTTGCCGAAGGAAGTTGGAGGACATGTACGAGCCGCGAAGAAATTGCCAGAACAAAGCCTCCGTTTTTTAATTTAGAAAGCTTGCTAAATCTAAAGTTACAGAGATGCGCGAAAGCTGCTTCAAGATCACTGGGGCACTTGGGCAAATTCCAAGAAATATTGAACCAATTGACGACGTCAAAAATAGTGTTTGACGACCAAGTGCAGGCACTATTCTTATTGAGTTCCTTGCCAGACAGTTGGGAGACGCTGACTATTATGCTCAGTAATGTGTCAGAGGGGAATCTAACATTAAACACAGTTAAGAAAAGCATTCTGAATGAAGATACCAGATGTAAGGAGATTGGTACGAGTAGCAACTCAGATGCATTCATTACAGTTACAGAAAGGAGGGGGAGAAGCAAATCCAGATACCCCCAAAATCCAGATAAACGTGACAATTCACGGAGAAGATCCAAGTCAAGGAAAGGTGTCACTTGCTATCATTGTGGTAAGCCCGGTCACATCCAAAGGCACTGCAAAAAGTGGAAGAAGGAACGAGCCAAAGAAAATGATGAGGAAAAAGACGATACGGAGGTAGCTTCAGTAGCTATTGATGTTGACGCACTTGGTGATGGTAGTGCGCGTTGATGAGTATGTGCGCTGATTTCTCATGCTGTGGTCTCAGTGAGTTGTTCCACTTAGTCACAATCCTCTTTGGATTATTTCAGTGAGTGTTCCACTAGTCAACAATCTCTTTGGATTATTGACTCTGCATGTTCTTATCATATTTCCTCAAAGAAGGAATATTTCTCATCACTTACCCTCGGAGATTACGGCCATGTCAAGACTTTGAATGGCACATATGTGAAAATTTGCGGCATTAGAACAGTATGCATCAAAACCAATGCTGGTTATGATCTCTGGTTGGAAGATGTGAGATACACTCCTACGGCGAACTTCAATCTGATCTCAGTTCGTTGTCTTGATGAATTGGGATATGCAAATCTGTTTGTCAACAGAACGTGGAAACTTTCCAAAGGTAACTTGGTGTTCGGTGGAGGAAGAAAGTTCAACACCCTCTACTACACCCAGGCCAAAGTTTGCACAGGAGTGGTGAATGCAGTTGAAGATTCATCTGCTGAGTTGTGGCACCAATGACTTGATCATTTGAGTGAGAAAGGAATGGAGACTCTCACCAAGAAGAAAATGCTATCTCTGAAAGGTTTGCCTCTGAAAATATGCACTGATTGTTTGTCTGGTAAACAACATAGAGTTTCCTTTCAAAGATCTCCTTCTCTCCATCTAGAAAACCTTGGTTATTCTAGCAATTTGCGTACATACTTTGATGTTTGCTCAATGCGGCTCTGACAATCCTTAAGTAGGTTGCTTTCATATTACATCAGCTTTTATGTGATGAACCATTCTAAGAAAGCGTGTGGAGCTTACAATAAAGGTCAAAAGACCAGGTGTTGTCGATATGTTTAAAGTACTTTCATTGTCAGTGTTGAAAGACAAACGGGCAAAAATTGCAAATGTCATTAGAGCCTTGATAATTGGTGGTAGAATACAGAGGACCATTTGAGAAATATGCTCAAACATGTCCATTTGAGAAGTATTGCTCAGAACACGGCATCAGACATCAGAAGACAGTCCCCAAAACTCCACAACAGAATGGAGTTGCAGAGAGAATGAACAGAACCATTGTTGAAAGGGTTAGATGTATGCTCTCTCATGCTAAACTTTCGAAAACCTTTTGGGCTGAAGTAATGAATACTGCAGTTTACTTGATCAACCTTTCACCTTCAACCTCCCTCAAAGGAGATGTACCAGAAAAGGTGTGGTCAGGGAAAAATATTTCTTACGATCATCTTGGAATATTTGGCTGCAGGGCTTTTGTTCATATTCCAAAAGATGAAAGATATAAGCTTGATTCGAAGTCAAAACAGTGTATCTTCTTGGGTTATGGAAATGATGATTTTGGGTACAGATTATGGGATCCAGTTGAAAAGAAGCTCATCAGAAGTAGAGATGTAGTATTCCTGGAAGAAAATGCCTCGCGAGTGGCTGATGCGATGAGTTTCTTTAGTCTTGAGTTGGTACCCGTGTAGAACACAAATGAAAGAGAGCGTATGATGACTGAGTAGTGGTGTTCAGAGTGAGCTGGAACCAGCTCCTACAGAAGAAACTGCCCCAAGAAATACTGAGGTGGAGTGAGATACCCTTTGTCCCTGTGAGTGATGTTCTTAGTATGACTTATGACTCAAGGAAGCCTCTCATAAACTAACAGGAGGCAATAGCGGATTGATAGAAAGAGTTGTGTGGGTTGCTTGCATGAGAACTAGACTTATGAGTTGGTCTGCCTCAAGGTAAGAAGGCATTGAAAAACAAATGGGTGTTCAGGTTGAAGACTGAACAGAACAACTCACAGTGAAGGTACAAGGTGAGACTGGTTGTGAAGGGATTCGGTCAGAAGAAAGGAGTTGACTTTGAAGAAATTTTCTCACCCATAGTCAAGATGTCTTCTATCAGAGTTGTGCTCGGTTTAGCAGCTAGTTTGAATTTGGAGATCGAGCAACTTGATGTAAAGAACGCTTTCCTCCACGGTGACTTAGAAGAGGAAATTTATATAAATTTATATGGAGCAGCCAGAAGGGTTCAGAGTCAAAGGCAAAGAACACTCGGTGTGTAAATTGCAGAAGAGCTTGTATGGCCTCAAACAAGCTCCCAGAAAGTGGTACAAAAAGTTTGACTCTTTCATGATGAATCACGGGTATGAGAAAACTACTTCTGACCATTGTGTGTTTGTGAAAAAGTTCGTAGAAGGAGACTTTATCATTCTCTTGTTATATGTGGATGATATGTTAATTGTGGGCCAAGATGCTAAGAAAATTGAGAGCTTGAAAAAGGAGCTTGGAAAATCCTTTGCCATGAAGGATTTAGGATCGGCAAAACAGATTCTCAGAATGAAAATCTTCAGAGACAGGAAAAAGAGAAAGTTATGGCTGTCTCAAGAGAAGTACATCGAGAAAGTTCTCAACAGATTTAATATGAGCAATGCGAAACCAGTTTGTACTCCACTTGCAAATCATTTCAAATTGAGTCTCAATCAATGTCCTTCAAGTGAGAAAGAAAAAGAAGAACTGAAGAAGATTCCTTATGCATCCGCTGTTGGCAGCTTGATGTATGCCATGGTATGCACAAGACCGGATATTTCTCATGCTGTTGGTGTTATTAGCCGATTTCTTTCAAATCCAAGTAAAGAACACTGGAATGCAGTAAAGTGGATTCTCAGGTATCTTAAGGGAACATCCAAAATCTGCTTATGTTTTGGTGATAATAGACCTGTGTTAGATGATTACACAGATGCAGATATGGGTGGTGATGTTGATTCACGCAAATCAACTTCTGGATATTTAATGACCTTTGCAGGAGCAGCAGTTTCTTGGCAATCAAAATTGCAAAAATGCGTTGCACTCTCATCCACTGAGGCAGAATATATCGTCATTACAAAAGCTAGCAAAGAACTCTTATGGATGAAGAAATTCCTACAAGAATTGGGTATAGAACAAGAGAAGTACATTCTGCTATGCGATAGTCAAAGCGCGATACATCTCTCCAAAAACGCGAATACATTCTCAGCAAGAATTCGAACCTTTCATTCAAGGTCAAAGCACATTTTGATGTGAGGTATCTGGATACGTGATGCGCTGGAGATGAAGTCATTCAGAATTGGATACGTGATGCGCTGGAGATGAAGTCATTTCAGATAGAAAAGATTCATACTGATAATAATGGCGCTGATATGATGACCAAAGCTTTGCCTACGGAGAAGCTTGTCACTTGCAGAAAGATAGCCGGTATGGCTAACATCCCCACTTGAGTGTGAAGGGGGAGATTTGTTGTGGAGTTCCCACTCAAATTGGTGGTGGTATTCCCACTCAAGTGAGACCCATGCACCATTGAAATAAAAAAAATAAAAACAAATAAAAAATTGAAAAAAAGGTGTTTTTCTCTCCTATAAATAGGAGAGGTTTTGGGGTTTCAATACACACACAAAAAACACTCAAAACAAAGAGTGTAGAGAGATTAGAGAAATTTTAGGAGGAAGGTCCTAAAATTAGGGGAGAGAAAAATAGTGAGAAAATTCTTTTTGGGTTGTTTTTGGGAAACACTTTTGAGTGCCACTATTTTTGTAATGCTCTCTTTGTAAACCTACTATTTTTATAGTGGAAGAATCATTCGGAATTAGTCCCGTGGACGTAGTCCTAAACAGTTAAGGGTGAATCACGTAAATATCTATGTGTCATATATTTCTATTTTTCCGCTGTAAAATTATTCTCGTAATTTTATTACCGGGCCGAGAAAATTCTTTTTGGGTTGTTTTTAGGAAACACTTTTGAGTGCCACTATTTTTATATTGGAAGAATCATTTGGAATTAGTCCCGTGGACGTAGCCCTAAACAATTAAGGGTGAACCACGTAAATATCTGTGTGTCATATATTTCTATTTTTCCGCTGTAAAATTATTCTCGTAATTTTATTACCGGGCCCTGACAACATTTAATTGTTATGAATGAAACAATGCAAAGAGTAAAATATTTACGACCAGGTAAAACATCACAACCCATCTTTTCCAGCAGATTTCTTCACCACAATCCCTACCTTTGTCCCACCAGAAAACATTCATCTGATGTTCAACCTATGTACAAAGCTCCAAAGGCAATTTAAAAAAAAAAAGCCCAATATATAAATTCAATCTTATTATCTTCACATTTTACTTTAATATATAAAATTGTGTCTATTATTCTATTCAATGCTTGCTTGAACTTATAAAATTAAATCAATTAAATATTTATGGGATAGTTGTGAAATTTTTGGTCAAAAAATTATACTAACCACACATTAAGTGAATATTTTGCCCATTAATGTCAAAAACACCAAAAAAAAAAAAATGTTATTGCTATTATGAAAAAGGGTACAATATTACCAAAAATCGTAACTTTAGGCCATAATAGGTTCCTCATAAAGTTTAGGATGCCACACAGTTTTTGCAGTATTTGCAGTAAAGTACAGGTAAATTTATACATGTGGGCAAGTTATCAAGAATTTTTCCACTTGATTCTTTATTGAAAGTTATATTTAATATTAATATAGAGCTGCATTAGGAAAATTTAAGTAATATTATATTCAAATAATATTAGTTACTTTTTTCTTAATATGTAAAAGTAGAAATAAGTGACAAGTTTATTTTTTTGGATGGAGATAGTAAAAAATTACAAACTATATTTATACTTTACATTAGCTTTTGAGTTTTTTAATATAGTTAAGTCTCAAATGGTAGTTAAGTCTCAAATGGTACACATATGACTCAACTCACCTTAATTACAATCTCCAGATGATACCACATGGAAATAAAAGTAACAGCTTTAGCAATATCTCTTCACAATACATATGATTGTAGACTTTGGCTTGCACCAAAAAATATATTGCTTTTGCAGATTTTGTGGGATCGTCCCACCTAAGGTACCTATTTTTGTCAATTAATTTGTACCTAAAGAAAAAAATTATTGATTTGTGGAAATGTCGAATCATGCATGCTACTCACATACAAATTCCATTTAGTAAAATTGTTATCCCAAATATAAATCTATGCATGCTACTACATACAAAATATTCCACTTTATGTAAAATTTGTATATCCAAATATATAATATATATTATATATATATATATATATAATATATAATATATAATACATCAGCAAGGTGCACATTCTATATATTTTTATACATAATTCCATTTAGCCTAGATGACGCACATCCATATGTCCTGCCTGATCTATAAATACCACCTTTAGCTTTACCACATATCATCGCATACAACAAATATATTTGTCTTCTGAAAATATTTGTCATTTCCAAACACCAAACTTGACATGGCTGCTTTGATTCATGAAGATGAAGTTGTTACCGCAATCTCTCCTGAAAAGATGTTTAAGGTCTTCGTTCTCGAGGATTCTGTAATTATCCCTAAAATTATTCCTGTCATTAAGAGTATTGAGATTATTGAAGGATATTTGAAGAAATGAGGCCCTGGAACTATTAAGAAGACTTACCCTTTGTAGAAGGTTTGATGATTAAACATTTTTAATGATTGTTGTTATAATTAATTATTTATTCAGTTTCGATACTTTTATTTACTAATATGTTTCTTTCTTAAATTAATTATTTATTCAGTTTCGATTAACTTTTATTTACTAATATGTTTCTTTCTTACACAAGCAGGTAGTGAAGTTAAGTATGTGAAAAATAGAATTGACGCAATAGATAAAGATAATTCCATATATAACTATACTACATTTAAAGGCGCACTATGGAGCGATACAATAGAAAAAGTCTCTTATGAAATAAAACTAGTGTCTGCTCCAAACGGAGGATCCATCGTCAAGAGCATAGGCAAATACTATGCAAAAGGCGACGCTAAGATTGATGAAGAAGTAATCAAGGCTGGGGAACAACAAATATTAGCAATGTTCAAAGTTATTGAAACATACCTCTTGGCAAATCCTGATGCCTATTAATTTAATTGTGTACCCACTTTGATGGGTGCAATTAATAAACCTATTGTGCTTTTTTTATTATTATTATTTCTTTACGTTCTGTTTGGACCAAGACTATATATATAGTTTTTTGGTCTCTCTCGTAATAAAAGTTGAATGGGTGTAATTCGCATGAATTCATAATAAATAAAATATGAACCATTGGATTTTTCTTTCTAATATTATAGATGTATGCTTGCTTTAATTATTTCTTCTTCAGTAATAATTTGAAAATTTAATAAATGAGACAATCAGAATTTTAAATAAATCAGCTATACAACTTATATTTTAGAATTTCCTTCATCTATGATATTGATTATCTCTGCTACAAGCTTGTATTGATTACTTATAAAATACACTTCATGAATATAATCCGGGAGGGAAAGAAGAAGCTCCTACAGTCACTAAATTTGGCTAGATACATCCTTTTTCTTGTCTGTATGTTGATATTCATGACTGCCAGTGAGTTTGTCATTTGGTTATGACTTTCTGGGCCTAGCTTGTATTTGTTTATGTTGCTCTTCTCCATCATATTGCATTACCCAAACAACGAGGAAACACCCCCTCCTTACCCTACTTTATCTTTTAAGTTTTTTTCATTTTTATTTTTGTTAATAGTGATTTATGTAATTTAATTTTGTTCTTTCAAAATTCTCTCGGATGTTCTGGCTTATTTATCTACATAATAAAAGCTTTCAAAGAATTAAGTTTGTTCAATAAACTATTGTTTCGTGCAACTTTGTATAATTAGATTTGTTTCATTTCATTTATAATGTATTAAAAATATTAATTTTTAAGTCTCAACTAAGTATCTATCCATATCTATACTATATATAAACTATATATAAATGTGGGAATATGAGAGAAGAAATAATGAGATTTCTGATAGTACCTTTAATAAAACTTAGAATATGCTAAAATAACCTTAGTCATAGCCAATTAAAAAATTACATTTTATTAGTTGATTAAATATATATATAACAATTATGAAATTTAAAATATGCTAAAATAACCTTAGTCATAGCCTCTTAGAAAATTGCATTTTATTAGCTGGTTGGATGCATTTATAATAATTATTTTTAAATAAATACATTTAGATAATCAAATATTTCAAAATTTTAAATTTTATCTTTTTAATAAATTTATTTTATATATATATATATTATATATATGATAATGAGGGACATTTGAAATTTTTATTTTATTTTTCAAATAATTTGATTAACTATTTATATATAATTTAAAAATATTTATTTTGGAGAGGAAATAAAAAAAATCTTTTTTGTTAATATTTTCTTCTTTAATTTTGTTATGATTTTAATTGGATATAATTATTTAAAAAAAAAATTCTTCAAATAGTTATATATAATATATTATTTTATCTGTGGTAAGATAAAAGAAGGAAAATAGTGTATATATTTGGAAGCATTTTCAAAATTTTAGATTTTATCATTTTTATATTTTTTGTTAATAAAATAATATTATGATAGAAGAGACATTTGAAAATTTTCTATATTTTATTTTTTAAATATTTGATTCTATTATGATACTCTAATTTAAAATATTATTTCAAAGAGAAATAAAAAAGATAAAAAAAGAAAAAATATATTCTTTTTCCTTTATATTTATATGATATATTTTTTAAAAACTAAAATTTCAAATAGAATATACATAATATTTTTATGTAGGAGTGAGATAAATAAAAGAAAATAGTATATTATTTTATTTATATTTTATTTATATTTGTATGATTTGATTGAGTATATTTTTTGAAAACTAAGTGTTCAAATAGAATACATATAATTAAACCTTTGAAAAGTTTTAAATTTTTATTTTTCAAAATTTATTTTAAATAAAATGAAATATATGTGTGTGAGAATTGGCGAACAGATTAAAATTTTAATTTTAAATATATATATTCATATATCTATATATATTGAAACTTTTTTGTTAGATGAGTTTTGAAAAAAGTTGAAACTTTTTTGTTAGATGAGTTTTGAAAAAAGTTTTATTCTTAATAATAATTTTTATTTTTTATTTTCTTTTTTGTTAATGAATAATTTATAACTATTATCATAATTTAATAAGAGATCTATATCTCCTTTGCAATGAATAGATGACCTCTTGATGATTAAATATTTTTAATTTTCTTGATATGTTTTTCTCTTATATCCTAAATTTTTTTTGATTTAAAAGAAATATCATTTATAAAACAAAAAAAAATAGAACTATATATTTTTTTTTTTGGATCACTTTTTGGGATTTTAAGAATTTGTGTGTATGTGCATATATTTCTTTCAATCATACACTGGGTAAGTAATACTTTTACTGTAGTCAAAATGATTATCATTATCAATTCAATTCGAGACTGAATTAAATACACAAGAAGTAGCATTACAAGTAGTTTGTACGGTAAAATGAAATAAAAATTAACCAATTGTATTTATTTTAATCTAAACAAAAATTTATGCTTTAATATTATCATTAAATGATTATCATTATTAATTCAATTTTTTGTACTTATGATAATCATTTTTACCGTAGCCAAAATGATTATTATTATCAATTCAATTTGAGACCGAATTAAATACATAAGAAGTAGCATTACAAGTAATTTATATGGTAAAGCGAAATACAAATCAACCAATACCAATTGTATTTATTTTAATCTAAACAAAAACTTATGCTTTAATATTATATAAATAAAAAAAATTAAAAGAGTACAAAAAATGAGTATATAACGAATATAGTCAATATGCAACGCACGTTATAAAAAAAACTAGTATATATCTATCTATCTATGCATACTATATATAAAAGTGAAAATGAAGAGGGAATAATAAAATTATTGATAGTACTCTTAATGACATTTCGAATATACTAAAACAACTTTTGTCATAGCCAATTAGAAAATTGTATTTGATTGATTGATTGGATATATTTATAAAAATTATTTTTAAATAAATACTTGTAGAAAATTAGGCATTTTAAAATTCTAAGTTTTTTCTTTTTTTAATTTATTTTTAATAAATATTTATGATAAGGGGACATTTAAAATTTTATATTTTACTTTTTAAATATTTAATTCTATTTAACTATAATTTAAAATATTTTATTTCGGAGAGAAATAAAAAAGTATATTTTTTTATTAATATTCTTTTTTTCTTTATATTTTTATGATTTGATTATTGATTTGATTGGATATATTTTTCTAAAAATAAATTTTAAATAGAATATATATATTATGCATTTAGGAGGAGAGGACAAAAAAAAAGAGAAAAAGTATAGTAGTTTTTATTAATATTTAGTATCTTAATGTTTGTATTGATTTTGATTGATGATTTGATTAAGTATTATTATTTTTTTAAAAAAATTTCAATATAAAATAACATAATTAAACCTTTTCAAAATTTTCTAAATTAAATTTTACTTATTTTGATTGGATAAGATTTATAAAACTTATTTTTTAAATAATATACATATAGATATTAAGGATATTTTTCAAAATTCTAATACATTATCTTTTTCAAAATAATTTATTTTTACCAAATATATATGACAAGAAGACATTTAAAATTTTTTATTTTTATTTTTTAAATATTTATTTATATTTTGACTATAATTTAAAATATATTATTTAGGTAAGAAATAAAAAAAGAAAAAAATTATATTTTTTTATTAAAATTCTCATTTTCTTTTTATTTATATGGTTTGATTAAAAATATTTTTTAAAAAATAAAGTTTCAAATAGAATATGTATAATATTTTATTTAGGAGAGAGATAAAAAATATACTATTTTTACTAATATATTTTCTTTATGTTTGTATGATTTGATTGAGTATACATTTTTTATAAAAAAATATATACTCAATTTAAAAAAGTATTAAATAGAATACACATAACTAAGCCTTTCAAAAATTTTATATTATATTTTATTAGTTGATTGGATTTATTTATAAAACTTATTTTTTAAAATAAACATATAGATAATTAAGTATTTTGAAATTTTAAATATTATCTTTTTTTTAAATTTATTTTTACCAAATATATATGACAAGGAGACATTTAAAAATTTTATTTTTATTTTTAAATATTTATTTATATTTTAACTATAATTTAAAATATATTATTTTGGCAAGAAATAAAAAAAGAAAAAAATTATATTTTTTCATTAATATTCTCTTTTCTTTATATTTGTATGATTTGGTTCGATATATTTTTTTTAAAAAAAAGTTTCAAATAGAAAATATATATAATATTTTATTCAGGAGAGAGATAAAAAAAATACTATATTTCCTAACATATTTTCTTTATGTTTGTATGATTAGATTTGGTATTTTTTTTAAAAAAAAATTAAATAGAATACACATAATTAAGCCTTTCAAAATTTTCAAATTATATTTTATTAGTTGATTGAATATATTTATAAAAATTATTTTACACATAATTAAGCCTTTCAAAATTTTCAAATTATATTTTATTAGTTGATTGAATATATTTATAAAAATTATTTTTTAAATAAACATATAGATAATTAAGCATTTCAAAATTTTAAGTATTATCTTTTTTAAATTTATTTTTAATAAATATATATGATGAGAAGACATTTGAAATTTTTTTATATATTTTTAAATATTTGATTTGATTTTAATTATAATTTAAAATATTTATTTCAAAGAGAATAAAAAAAAATATTCTTTTTGTTAACATTCTTTTTTTATATTGTATGATTTAATTGGATATTTTTTTTAAAAGTGATTTTTCAAATAGAATATACATAATATTTTATTTAGGAGAAAAATAAGAAAAGAAGAAAGGTATATTATTTTCATTCATATTTTTTTCTTAATGTTTGTACGATTTTATTGGGTTTTTTTAAAAAAAAAAAACAAATTCAAACAGAATGCACATAATTAAATATTTCAATATTTTTAAATTTTTACTTTTTAAAATTTATTTTAAACAAAATGAACTAGTGAATAGTTTAAAATTTTAATTTTAAAAATAATTTTTAAAAATATATATAAATATTTAATGATAATTTTAATATATCTAATATATTAGATAATTTGCCCTGTATTAGTGGAGTCTGAAAGATTTTTATTTCCGTTTTATGATAGGAGTGATATATGGTATGATTATTATGTATGGTGTATGGTATCGCACCGCTGAATGGATA